AGCTTCCCCAACGTGTTCGGCAACAATTTGCTAATGTGCAACCTGGTCTCTATGTGCCTGCAACCTCTTTACAACACTGTATTAGCTTGTACCATGTGTTTGCCAATTTCAGCAGCATGTCTGTATCCTCCTGCCGTCTGCTGCCAAACTCCTCACTGTCTAATACGTTTCCAGGTTTTGTTTCACCTACATACTTTACAATGTTACGCCTATAGCTAAATCCAGGTCATTAATATATACTGAAAAGAACAGTTGAACTAATACAGACCTCTAAGAGACACCACTGTATACTTTCTTCCAGCCTGAAAAACAACTGTTCACTGCAACCCTCCGAGTTCTGTTTGCAACCAATGTTAGATCCATGCTTCCTTACTTTTCCATTAACCTCATGGCCTTCAATTTTGCTAATAACTCCATTTTTTGCACCTTATCAAACGCATTTTGAAAGTCTACCTACACATTATATACAGCAATTCCTTCATCGACTTTCACGGTTACTTGATTGAACAAATCAATGGAATGTAAATAGAGATCGTAATATCCAATAGGTGGGGGGCTCGATGTGCAAATGGAATATCAGAATCGAATAAACCCTGATTGAACTCTATTCCGATTCCTGATCTAGGCGTGTCCGTAGTACTACAGAGCACTCACTGCTGATGGCAGGATAGCCCAATGTGGACCATTGCCAGTATCCAGAAGGACTGTCCAGTTACTGGGGCCATGGAAGATTTCCAGTCAGCTTCTGTTGACGCTACAGCCAAAGCCCAACTAAAGGATAGATTGCTCCTAGTTGAATAAGTAGTGGGAGCGCTAATCAGTCAGCATTCACTCTGAACGACAGAATCCGTTGGTTTAGATTGGAGAACTCCAGCGTTTACCTCAACGCAAAAGTTGGCGTTTCGCTCCGACCGACCCACATGCAACACCATCCGGGTCTGATGAACAAAAAGTCTCCAACTCTCCATGGCATAGGACTAGGAGGTGTGTGGGGTGTTAGGAAGCAAGCGTGGAGAGGAGCTTGTGACGGGGGGGAGATGGGGACAACGTTAATAGTGGGAGAGCGGTTAAGAGGTCGAAGGGAGAGAGGAGGGAGGCAACAGTGGTGCCGACGGGGGAGAGTTAAGAATGGAGAGGGGAAGGGGAAGGAAGGGGGATAGGGAGGTACAGATGGCGCACGTGGGAGAGATTAGGGGGAAGAGTTGAAGAGGGGCGACGGGCGAGAGAAGTGGGAGAGACTGGGAGTGAGGGTCAGATAGAGGTGGAGAGGGAGACGAGAGGGATGATGAGATGGAGAGAGAGAGAGAAAGGGCGTAGAGGTGGAGAGGGAGAGATGGAAGAAATGAGGGAGGAGGTGTTGAGAGTGGGGAGAAGGTGGGAGAGATCTGTGGAGATGCGGAGAGATAATCAGAAATGTGGGGAGAGAGGGAGGAAGATTGGGGGAGTAGTTAAGAGAGATGGGAGGAGAGGGGGAGAGGGGAGAAAGAAGTGAACAGTGGCAAAACGTAGGAAGAGGGTGTGGAAGAGTCGACGAAATCGTGAAAGGGGCAGGAAAGTGTGGCAGAAATAAAAGGTGGAAAGAGTGGGAGAGGAGTGAGAGAGCGGGGAAGAGTGTGTCAATGAGGAAAGAGCATAAACGAGGAGGGAGGGCGAGTAAAGCGGCAGGGGAGAGAGGCGAGAAAGGCGCAGCGAAGGGGGATAGTGGGGCGGAGATAGGGTCAGAGGGTTGCAGAGAAGGTGGGAGAGGGGAAGAGTTGGGGAGATGGGAGGGGGGGAGAGAGAGAGGGAGAGAGTGATAGAGAGGGTGAAAGGGAGGAAAGTGTGGGATGTAGGGAGGGAGGGAATGAGAGTGAGGGTGAAAGGGGGAAAAGTATGGGAGAGAGGGAGAGAGGAGGGAGAGTTGGAAAAGAGGTGGAAGGAAGTGGGGAGAGAGGAGTGGGAGAATTACACGTGTGGGAGAGAGGGTTAGTGAGGAGGACAGGGAATACGGGAAAAGGGATAGAGAAGTAGGGGCTAGGTTGGGAGGGGGGCGCGGTGAATGGACAAGGATGCGAGATGGGGAAAGAGGGGTGAGACGCTGGGAGAAAGAGAGAGGAAGGCGAGGAGAGGGCGGAGAGGGGTGGGAATCGATGAGTGTGGTGAGAAGATGTGGAGAAAGGGTGGGAAAAGTGGGAGAGGGAGAAAGAGGGAGCAGAGGGCGAGAGGGCGATAGAGGTGGTGGGGGGAGAGGTGGAGAGAGGTGGAGGATTAGACGAGAGAAGTGGGTAATGGAGGGCTGGGGGAGAGAGTGGGAGGGTTTAGGCAGGGTGAAAGACAGGGAGTGGGGCGGGTGGGGTCGCTACAAAGGAGACACGGAGCCAATGCCGTGTGGGGATCGCTCTGTTGTTTGGATTTGGGAAATGTTTTATCGGGGTGAAGGGTTTCCGACCGGGGTCAAGCACTCCAGCCAATCCCAGGATATAACATGGAAATATTAAGGTGTGAAGGGTGTTCATAACAAGAACTGCGGTAAATGGTAGAAATATAAACAGGTTTCGTGCGAGATTTTAATCAAATCTTATCCGACCGAGAGATTCCCACTCGCTCGCTCTCCCCAGCTTGTGGTTCACCCTGCTCTGTGCTCACGCATTCATGTGCTCACCCGCTGAGCTCAACCATCCCTGTGATTACACCCCTTGTGCTCAATATCCCATGTGCTCACGCCCCCCTTTGCTCAACCCACTGTTCTCACCACACTATGTGCTAACCTGAACTCATCTCTCGGCTGAATTATTCAGAAGACCTACTCTCCGATCTCCGCTCCACTACCATCCAAAATATCCAAGTAATGCATAATTCGCCCCCCCCCACCCCATTCTTACTCACACCGAACTCCGCTCCCCGATACCCCCAGTCCTTGCCAGACTGCACTGGCTGCCTGTCCCAGAGAGGATCAATTTCAAGATCCTCAATCTTGTCTTCAAATCCCTCCACTCCTCTGCACCCCCGAACTTTCTGACCTCCTCTCACCTCACAACAGTGCCCGTTGCCATCGCTCCACCGGGTCTGGTCTCCTCCTCTTTCTCCGAATCCTCCACCATCTGCGGCCGTGCCGTCAGCAACTGTGCCCCGAGGCTCTCGAAACCCCTTCCTCGTTCGCTTTGCCTCCCTCCCACTCTTCCTATTTTCATGTCTAGGCTAAATACCTTTCTTTGTGACCGCGCCTTTGGTCAACGACGTCGACCTCCGCCCTGGCTCGGCTCCGGGACCCATTACTGTGAAGCGCTCTGAGACGCCGTCCGGCGTGGAGGGAGCTACTTCAATCCAATTTGTTGTTGCTGCTGTTGTTGTTGTTGTTGAACTCAAACGCCTCACCGTGCTCAACCGAACCTGTGATCACAGCCCTTGTGTTGCAACCCCATGCGCTCACCCCCTCCCCCCACTTTGCTTACCCCACTTTTCTCATCCCATTCTGTGCTAACCTGACCCTTGTTGTCATCCGACTCCTGTGATCACCTGCCATGTGCTCAACCCCTGAGCTCACCCAACCCTTTGATTAAAACCATTGCGATCAACCCTCGTGTGCACATTCCATCACCCTGTGCTCACAACCCTAAACTCACGCCCTCCCCTGTGTTGACGGCTCTGCTTACCCCTCCCTGCGCTCACCCCGTGCGCACACTCGAACCTGTGCTTATACACTTGTGCTCAGCCCACCCTAAGCTGACACCTCTTTTCTCACCACATCCTGTGATCACCCGTAGTGCTCACAGCGCTGTGCTGACCCACCGTGTGCTCATCTATCCCGTGTTTAACACCGGCAACTGTGCTCACCCGACGCCTGTGCTCAATCAACACTTTTGTTCATGCTCTGGGCTCATTTGCCCTCTGTGCTAACGATCTGCGACTATTCACCCCGCACTCCCACATTCTCAATTGCTTATCCGTCCGTGCGCTCGTCCGTGTGCACACCCAACCCCTTTACTCACCCTGCCCCTGTGCTCACCCAACCCATTTACTCCCCCTTCCCCACTGCTCACCCAACTCCTTTACTCACCCTGCCCCTGTGCTTACCCAACCGCTTTACTCACCCAGCGACCGTGCTCACCCAACCCCAGTGCTCAACCAACCCCTGTGCTCACCCAACCTCTGTGCTCACCCAACCTCTGTACTCACCCAACCCCTTCGTTTAAACCGCTTCGTTGAGCTAATCCCTCCCTGTGCTAAGCCGCCTTGTGCTCAAGCCCCATCGCGTCCAACCACCCACCCCAGTGCCGATCCACCGCCTTGTTTACAAACACGCCTTTGCTTATCCCCACTGTTCTCATCACCAGGTGGTCACAGGCCTGTGCTTACCACCCACACTGTGCTCAGCCACCTGTTGTCACCCACCCTGTGCACACGTATCTGTGCTCACCCTCTCGCTGTGAACTCACACACACCCTGTGACCTAACCCTAACACTTTTGCGATCCCTGTGATCACCATTTTTTTCTTAACCCTACGCTCACCAATCTGCGCTCATTCCAACTCTCGTTACGCGCCCTATGTTGCCCCCAGCTGTTCATAGAAGCCATGCACTCTATCCTTCTCCTTGTATTCAGCCTATCCGCCAGTGCTCAAGCATTCCCTTGATACTCATGCCCTCTTGTTCCTACCCAGCCCACAGCCTGTGCACCCCCAACCTGGGTTCACACCCTCCTAATTTCAACGACCACTGTGCAAACCACCCCTGTGCTCAGTCCCCTGTTTTCACCCAAACCCCACCCTTTCATCAAAACTCTGTTCTCACTGCCTGCGGTACTCAGCACCCCATGGTCATATCCGGTGCTCAAACTTCTTCGTTCAACACCGATCCTGTGCTCAGCCCCTGTGCTCACCTCACCTATTCTCACCGACCCCAGTGGTAAGACCACTGCGCTGAACCTCCTGTTTTATCTCACTTGTGCTCACTTAGGCTCACATCGCATGTGCTCACATCTATGTATTCACCCATCCTTGTGGTTCCCCCATTGCTCCCACCTTGTGTTGACCAGCCCCCAGTGCTCCGCCCACTCTTCTCAGCACCTGTGTTCACCACCCTTATGTTCAGCAGCCTCTGCTCAACCTCAAATGCTGGCTCCATTGTGCTCACTCCAAATCCTGTGCCCACCCCACTTGCACAACTCTTTTACTCACCCCAATCTTTGTGCTCACCACCACGTGCTCAACCCCCGTGCTTGCAAAAACCGTTGTGCTCACACGCTCCTGTGCTCACTTCCTTTGCTGAAGCCCTGTGCTCACCCCACTCCCTCTGCCCTCTTGTGCCCAACCCCTCCAACTTGCGCCACCCACTGTAGCCACGTCACTTTGCTAACGCACCCCCCAGTGCTCAAACCATTGCTCTCACCCTTCTGTGGTCATCATCCTGTGCTCACACTCATGCGCTCACTGTTTATCAGTCTTGCTCAAAGCAATCTCTCCTCACCCGGCTTTCCACACCCAACTGTGCTCACATTCCTGGCCTCAGCCCACATGTTCACCCACGGCTATATTCATCCTCGCTATGATCAACCACGCGTGTTCCCTCCCCTCTCAATGCTCAACAACTGTGCTCCGCCCTACCCCCGTGCTCAACCCCTTTGATCACTCCCCACCCACTGTGCTCACCCGCCTGTTCTCACCATCTCATGCTCCTTCCACCTCTTCTATCACACACTGTGCTAAACACCACTTTATTCACGCAACAGTGCACCCCACTTTGCTAACCCAACCCTCTGTGATTAATCCCACTGTGCTCACACCCGTGGTCCTCAGCCTTCTGTGCTACCACCGCACCAGTGCTTCCCCCATCCCCATGCTTCTCCCTCTTTGGTCATCTCTCTTTGCTGTCATCTCTCTGCGTTAACCCACACCCTCTCTGCTGATCCATCCACCCACGGACTCACACCCAATGTCTTCAACCTTCTGTGCTCACCACCCTCTTGTGTTCACCACTGAGAACTCACCACACTTACCTCACACCCTGTCTTCAACATCGGTTTTGACCCCCAGTCTTCAACTCCTGTCCACACCCCCAGTCTTCACCCTTGTCCTCAGCCCCTGTCCACACCCCCAGTCCTCACCTCCATTCCTCTACCTCTCTCCACAACCCATTTCCTCATACTGTCCTCACTGCTTGTCCTCATCACCTGACCTCACGCCATGTACTCACGTTCTCTCCTCATCTGCTGTCGTCAACCCCTGTCCCCTCTCTCTGTTCCAATCCCAGCTGTGCCGTCTGTGCTCTCCCTCACTACCTGCGCATTAATCCTGTGCTCGCTCCACCAACGGTGCTCATTCCCACGTTGATCACCGCGCCCCCCTCCCTATAATAAAACACTGTGCTCATCTGTTGCCTCAGAGCTCAGCCATCTGTGCTCAGCTCTAGCCACCGCTTGCGTTCCACCCGTTGTTCTCCACTGGGCATCCGCCGTTCTGTCAAGTCCCCGTCCTGTGCTAAACCACCCGCACCCTCCGTGCTCACAGCCTTGCGCGCACCCCCCTTGTTGTCAACCCTCTGAACTTCCCCTTTGCTCGCATCCCTGTGCTCACCCCGCTCCTGTGTTTCCCTATATTGCTCACACCAACCTTGTGCTTACCACCCCACAAGTCACCTCCCCCGTTTGCTCAGACCCCTGGTCTCAACCGTGTACTCACCGCCTTGTGCTCAAACCTCCACCAGTCCCCCTTGTTGCTCAACCACCGATCTACCCTCATATTTCGAGCATTTGTGCTCACCCCTCCGTGCTCAGCCTTCACTTGCTCCACTCTCCACCCGCTGTGGTCACCCCTCTGTACCCGCAAACTTATGCTCCTTACGCCTGTTCTCACCCTCATGTGCTCATCCGCACTTGTTTTCAACCTAATGTGCTGCCACCTCTGCAATAACGCCACCCCTGTGCTCATTCCATCCCTAGGCTAACACCAAAGAAGTGCCAACAACCCCAACCATAACAGTGTGATCATATTCCACTGTGCTCTCGCCTCCCATGGGCCCTTAACTTTAGTGGCCTAACGCGACACATGTGCTCACACCCCGCCACTCGTGATCCGCACAGTGGGTTAAGCCAACACCTTTGCTCGGCCTCAGTGCTAACCCCACCTCTGTGTCACCCCACCTTGGGCTACACGACTCCCCTGCTCACTCTTCTTTGCAAACTGCCCTTTCCTTAACCCCTCCAGTTTTTCCCTGTTGACCCTTCATTGGCTTCCCCGGGTCCACTCCCACGTGCTCAGCCCCCTGTACCTCACACACCTGCGTTCATGCACACTTTGCTCAACCACTTTATTTTAAACCCCTGTGGTCATGCACCCTTGTTTGCCCCCATTTATCCCTCGCATTTCTAACCCCCACCCCGTGCTTACTGCCCCCATGATTCCCACCCGCAGTGCTAAACCCCTGTTCTCACCACCTTTTGCTCACGCCTCTGGATCACCCTTCCGAGCTCAACCACCACCCGTGCTTATCCCACTACCTGTGCTCACTCCTCTGTGCTCCCGCCACTGTGCCAACACATCCTCTGTGTTCACCCACTTGTGCTGCTCTCACGACGCTAACAGCCCCCCACCTATGCTCAACCCCTTTGCTCCACCGCTGTACTCACACCTTTGCTCATCCACCTCCCTTGTACAACCGCGCACTCACCTCCCCTGTGTTCACCCCCAGTTTGCACACACCCACTGTACTCATATCGCCTGTGCCCAGCCCCTCTGTACTCACACCCGCTCCCTGTGCTTACCCATGTGCTCACTCCCACTGTGCAGCACACCTCATTGTGCTCAACCAAAGGGCTCACGCCTAACTCCTATGGTAAGGCTTTCCCCTGTGCTCACCCGCTCTGCGTACCCCCACTGTGTTCACACCCATGCATTCACCCCTTGTGACAACCGCATCCATTGCTCAGCGCCCCACCCCACACCCCCGTGGTCCGCCGCCTGTGCTCAACCCGTGTTCTCTATGACATACGCTCACCTGTACCCTTATATTCAAGCCTCTTGCTCCCCGCACTTGTCCTCAACCCCCTGTGCTCAGCCACCTTTTCTGCCCCCTCACTGTGTTCATGCCGCTGTATTAATCACCCTGTGCTCATCACAACTATTCTCACCCTCATATGCAGCCCCTATGCTAAGCCGCGGTGCTTACCCCTCTGCGTTCCCAACTGGGGCTGACCCCAACGCTGTGTTTACCCAGCTGTGCTCAAACCCCTCACTGCACTCATCCCCTCTTTGTGCTCACCCCATTCCCTGTACTCATCCCGCTATCTGTGTTCCTTCCCCTCACTGTGCTCAGACCCCTCCCTGCAATCAAACGCCTCCCTGCACTCATCCCCTCCTTGTGCTCACCTTCCCCTGCATTTATTCATAAAAACATAAGAATTAGCAGCAGGATTAGGCCATTCGGCCATTCTCGCCTGCACTCCCATTCAATAAGGTTATGGGTGATCTATTCTATCAACACCTAACCGCCTTATCCCCGTATCCTTTAATCCTTTTATTCATAAAAAATCTATCAAACTTTAATATTTTCAAGGACTGAGCATCTGCGGCCCTTTGAGGTAGAGAATTCCATAAGTTCACTTCCCTCCGAGTGAAGACGTTTTTCCTCAACTCGGTGCGAAAGAGTTTACGCCTAATTTTAAGACTGTGAACCCTGGTTATAGTTTCTCCAACCAAGGGTAAAAGTCTCCCATTATCATTTCTGCCATGCCCCTTAATATTCTGATAGTTTTCTATAAGATCACCTCTCATTATTCTATATTCTTGTGAATATAGGCCTAAATTGCTGAACCTATTCTCATAACTAAACCCCCTTATCCCTGATACCAACATATTGAACCTATTTAACCCCTCCGAGGCAAATACATCCTTTCTTAAATAAGGAGATCAAAACTGCACACAATATTCTAGGTGCGGTCTCACCAGGAACCTGTACAGTTGCAGCAAGTCTTCCCTGTTTTTATATTCTAAACCCCCGACCTGTGCTGCCCCCTCTCAGTGAACTCAACCCCCTCCATGTGATAAACCGTCCCCCTCACTGCTCAAATCTCTCGCTTTGCTCATCTCCCTCCGTATGTTCAAAACCCGGCCTGTGCTCAAAACTTGCCCCGTGCTCAACCCCCTACAATTGCTCAACCCTCTCCCTGTGCTCACCCCACTGTGCTCTACGTCCTTACGATGAGCAGCCTTTGCTCACCAACCCAGCAGTCTTCCCTATGCGCTCATCCACCAGTGTGGTCAGCTCCCACCCTGTGCTCTCCTCCCTGTGCTCCAGCCACTGTGTTAAAACCCCTGTGCTGAACACAACCCTGTGCTCACCCACCTGTGCCCAACTTCCTGTGCTTACCGCTTCGCTGTGCTCAGCGCCCTTACGCACAACAGCCTGTGCTATCCACCTGTGCTCTACCCACTGTGCTCTCTCTCCATTGTGGTAACTTCTTTCCCCGTGCTCACCAACCCACTGTGCTCTGCCCCTATACTCACCCACTGTGTTAACACTCATGTTCTCACGCTGCGGTGCTAATACTCGTGCGCTCATCTCCTCCATTTACCGCATTCATCCCCAACTTCTGCGCTCTCTGGGCTCAACCGGTGTCATCCACCTGTGCTCCACCATCTTTTTGCTCAAACCCTATTGTTCCCTTCTGAGCTTTCTCCCAGTTCACACATCCCCACACCGAACACATCTCACTGCGCTTACCGCAACTGTGCTGAATCCCACTTTGCTCACCCCCCACTATGCTCAGGCTCTGGTTTCCACCCTGTGATTAACAGCTTGTTATCACCCCTCCACTTGTATTCATCTTCCTGTTCTGCCCCTGTTCGCGTCCCACAATTTGCTCACCCCACACGTGCTCAAGCCCGTTGTGCTTTAAAACCTTCGGTTCTTAACCTTTCCTCAAAACCACAATTCCTACACTCCCTGTTTAGAGCCTCTATGCTCACCCCCTCTGACACTCTCCTTGTCCTCCCTGCAGTGCTCACCACATCGCGTTCTACCCCTTGTTGGTAATCCCCATGTGTTCACGCATTCACTCCACCATCTTTCTCCCAAGTGAGCTCAAACCCTGTGCTCATCCACCTTGTAAACCACATCGCCTGTACACA